CACGCTGTAATACTGATGACCATTTGAGCGCGTTCATGTGTCTGATAGATCGTAATTATTTATTAATTATTTTCAGGCACTAAGTTATTTTCAGAACGTTTCTCATTATTCTTTGAGACTAACTCAATATTTTCAGATAAGGGAGACCTGGGCCAACTGTAACAAAATTTTAGGTTTTCCTTAATAACTAATGTGTTTATAACACTGATGCTGCAGCAGATAAAGGTGGTCATTTTATTAACTTAAATACTGCTGGGTGGCTTACTGTAACCTGTAATAATATAACCTAGCAACAAATTTATATTACTGTACAAAAGTACTGTAACTAATAGGCTAAACTAAATCTTTAAGATAAAAGTAGTGCAATAAAAGTGTAATATTCGCATCTGAGACAGTGGAGTAGATTGATAATGTAGCATAAAATGGAAATACCACTAGGTAAAGTACAAGCACCACTAAATCTTTGTTAGTTTTTGTGTTTCTGTGAGGGAAGCGCCATCTCATGACACCTTGTAATTGAATAAATGGGCATGTTACAGTGGAATGGGGGGGGGGGGCCTTCCGGAAGCCTTCCGGAACGCCTGGAAATTTGAAATGGCAGCAGAGTTGGACTTATTAGTGGACATGGAGTGCACCTGCAGGCCAACCAGTACACCAGTATGGAGGGCCCCAACGTTTCAGGAGGGGTTTTTCCCTCCACCCACCAATAGGTACCTCAGAGGGACAAGGGTCTCCCTGCTACAGGAAGTCTACACCTTTATTGTTTTTGTTATGAGGAGTGTGAATGTTTGTTTTCGTTTTGATGTTCAAAATAGGGGAGATATGGCCTCAAACAATTCAGAATCAAAAGGTGTGTATGCAGGGACCATATGTTTAATGTAATATCTTTAATGTGAATGGGCTTCGAAGCCCAGTTAAACAGAAAAAAATCCTTATTAAACTAAAAAACAGAGAACATAGATATTGCATTTTTGCAGGAAACTCCCTTGGAGGAAAGTGAACATGAAAAACTCAAAAGACAAGGGTTTAAATTTTCATTTAAATTTCATTTCATTTACATTTTTTTCACCTCCACCAAAACATACTAGAGGGGTAGCTATACTAATTTCAGGAAGGGTGACATACAAACACATATCTACTATAAAGGACAAGGAAGGAAGATTCATATTGATACGTGGGAAAGTTGATGGGAATCTGTTTACCTTATATAATGTATATATCCCTCCCGGTTCAGAACCAGACTTCTTTATCCAAGTAATTGATAGGATTGCAACCGAAGAACAGGGGACTCTAGTGTGTGGAGGTGACTTTAATATTACTCTTAACCCAAATATTGACTCATCTGGGACAAGAATTTCTCGCCCCCAAAAAGTAACAAAGAAAATTAACTCATTATTATCAGAAATAGGATTGACTGACATCTGGAGACACCTAAATCCATGCGTCAAAGACTATACTTTCTATTCATCTCCACACCTATCATATTCCAGAATTGACTATTTTTTTATTATTTGGAACAGACAGTAGTAAAACAAAACTGCCACATTGGAACAATGGATCTTTCGGACCATTGCCCACTATATTTTTCCTTAGGGATGACCTATAGAAATTAAATCCTAACATAGTGAATAAAAATAGGACAGAACAGTTTGCAAGTCTGCACATTCAAGACTACTTAGAATATAACGATAATGGAGAGGTGTCTCCGCCTGTGCTCTGGGATACCTGCAAAGCAGTAATGAGAGGGGTGGTGATTGCAGCGACATCCTTTCTCAAGAGACAAAGAGGATAAAAACTCAAGACCATCCAGGCCAAACTCAAAAAACTTGAATCTGAACATGAGGAATCAATAGACTCAAAGGTTAAGATAGAAATAAAACAAACAGGTTGAAGAGTTATATACACAAGAAATTCAAAAGAAACTGTTATACACTATACAAAAATACTATGAAGGGGGCAGCAAATATTCAAAGTTATTAGCGTATAAACTAAGAAGGCAACAGGCAGACAACACAATATACAAGACAAGAGACACTAAAACTAAAAACACCCACCACCAAATTAAGGAAATTAAAGATTGTTTTAAAGAATACTATGAAAAATTATACTCACAGCCTCAAGTCAGTACTGACCAGAACATGGAAACACTACTCAAATCTTTAAATCTACCAAAACTCACAGAAGCAGAAAATAAAGCACTAGCCTCGGCTCTAGCACGGACGGATTCAGCTCGGAATGATTCAAGAGTCTGAAGGAAGTATTGACAGCTATCCTATTAAAAACATTCAACTGGGTTCTGACTAAAGGGGAAACCCCAGCTTCTTGGAAAGAAGCAATTATATCAGTTATACCTAAGAAAGGTAAGGATAAGTTAGACTGCGCAAACTACAGGCCAATTAGTGTGCTTAATATGGACTGTAAACTGATTACGTCAATTATTGCAAAAAGACTTGAGAAAATTTTACCCAAAATAATCAATATGGATCAAACAGGATTTGTTCCGTTGCGTCAAACACAAAATAACATCAGAACATCTCTACAAATGATCAGATATATAAATCAAAAGAAAATAGAGGCGATGTTGGTTAGTTTAGATGCTGAAAAGGCATTTGACTCAGTGAGATGGAAGCTCCTATTCAGCACTATGGAGAAATTCAGTTTTGACCAAGTTATTATTGGTCAAAACCGAAGACTTGAAGACTAAAAGCCCTATATAATAAACCACCAGCTAGACTAAAAATCAGCGGGGAGCTCACAGACTCCTTTCTGCTGGAGAGATCCACAACACAGGGTTGCTCCCTTAGTCCACTTTTATTTGCAATTTTTATTGAGCCATTGGCACAATGGATTAGACAGAACAGAGAGATCAAAGGTATAAAAATGCCAGCAGGTGAACAGAAGCTAGCCCCGTTTGCAGATGATGTGCTCGTCAGCCTTTCAAGCCCAACAGAGTACCTACCGGCATTAATGTCTGTACTAGACGAATATGGGTCATTCTCTGGATATAAATTAAATAAGAGAAAAACTCAGGTCCTTAGTGTCCACTATGATCCCCACTCAATATCTTCACTCTAGATACCTTCTGAATTGGGATAAAAATTCTGTAATTTTAATTCTGGGAATCCTTCTGCCTTTAGACATATCTACATTGGCAGAAATTAACTACGGCCCTCTCAAAAAAGGAATTACTGCAGATATAAATAGAGGGAATTTAATCCCTTATCTAAGTATTAGTTCTCATATAGATTCAAAAAATGAACATGATATCTAGACTTTTATATTTATTCTACTCGGTACCAACTGGAAAACCAGAACAATATTTCCTGGAATGGGAAAAAATCCTCTCTAGATTTATATGGGCGGGGAAAAAGCCAAGAATAAAATACAAAACTCTACAATTACCAAGGGAAAAAGGTGGATTAGCTCTCCCCTGTCTGAGAAAGTACTATAGAGCAGCTCAAATTTGGCCACTAGTTGAATGGTGTATACCAAATTATAGATTGAGATGGAAAGTGATAGAACTGTCAATGGGTAAGGGACTACCAGTTAATACCGTGAATGGTGACCCCTTATTAATTATTTACCTCTCAGACCCTAACAATCCTTGGATAATTGGTTCCCTAAAAACATGGAATGAAATAATTAAAAAGGTATCAATTGAGGAAAAAGACCAAAATGTTTAAATGGTTTGCCTATGATCCAGAATTTATGCCCAATTATTATGACACGAGGTTTAAAAATTGGACTGGGACTGGGCTCACGGCACACTGCACACTACTAGATCAGGATACATTTTTGAGCTTCCAGGACATCGAGGATAAATTTAGTTTACAAAATCAAGATCACTTGAGATATTTACAAATCAGAGACTTTGTGAACAAAAAATTCCCAACTGATGTTACCTCAGGGAGGGAAGAAATTCTCAACATCTTTCAAAATGCTACCTTCCAAAAAATAATATCTAAACTATATTTAGCTCTCCAAAATCTAAAAAGTGACCATACTTTGGACAGTAAGGCAAGATGGGAAGCAGAGGAAAGCTTCATGGTATCACAGGAAGAGTGGGAGAGGATCTGCACACAGCAATGGACAATGACAAGCTCCCCTTCCTGGAGGGAATTCAGCTGGAAGAATTGTGACTCAATTCTTTCATACTCCGGCGCAAAGGACTAACTATTCAAATCAGACTGCCTGCTGGAGGTCTTGTGGAAACACATTAGCAAATTACTATCATATTTTTTGGGCTGTCCCTCTGTAAGCTGTTAAAAAGAAAATGCACTTAAATTTTAAAATTATGTATCTGGGTGATTTGAATGGACCAGAACATGCAAAGCAGGATAAAAACCCGTTAAGAGTGTTATTAGTGGGATGCAAAAAGGCCTTGACCAGAAAATGGCTTAAGAAAGACAAACCAACAATAAATGAATGGATTGATATCATCTACATTATATACGTGATGGAGAGAATTACATTTAGACTAAGGAACCAAGAAGAAAATTGGTCAAAATGGCTCAGCTATGTGTCAACTGTAAGACCTGATTTTGTATAATTGGTCTACCAATAATAAGGCCACACCCTCCTAAATTTAAAATGACTTTCCTTTTCTCAAATGCAAAATCTTTATACTTTTTGGTGTAGACGTGTACGCCCGTTCAAAAACAAAGATGTAGTATACAGAGATGTATGCTGAATAAGTAGCAGTGGGTGTGGTGTGCATACATATGACTAAGTGTCTATACGTGACTACTATCTGACTGAGCTGTTGAGATAAGTAAGGGTGTGGATATATGTCTCTGTATGTATATTGTATTTATATTGATTCTGCTGCCTTATGTAACACTCAGATCCTCCCCTTGTTATATGTTGTGTGCCCAGTCAGTGCATGTGTGTTGTTTTGTTTACTGAAAGAAAAATGAATAAAAAAAACTAAATTACAAAAAAATTACTTTATAAAAGCTATGTCAGGTATTGCTGCAGTGTAAGTGTGAAAAACAACTCACGTTTTCTAGTGCTTCATCTAGAATGATTGCACCATAAGTAGGTACACCCATCTTGTACTCCTTCCACTGCTCAAGGACTTTCTGCACATCCTCTCCATGTGGCAACAGAAATGGACAGTGATGGAAGAGTTTGCAGCTGTCAAGGAAAATCACATCTAATGACTTCTAACATGAGAAACACATCTGGCTTCTTGCTCTGAGGATGAGCCTGAAGAGGTAACAAGAAAACCAAAGTACCGATGTTAAATCCCTCATTATTTGTCATAGGTGATCCTTATTACAAAAAAAATATATATATAAATAATAATAATAATAATATGGGTAGTTGTGACTGCATATTAAATAATGAATTCATGAAAAACATGGGGAAAAAATTATAAGGTCATTTACATCATCGTTCACATGTAAGGATATCTGCTTTGGCAAAGTCTCTTATCCCACAGTGAGGAGCTCCTGGGGTGTTCTGCATGCAGAAGTCCAGGTAGAACCAGTGGGCTAGCTCGATCTGGAAGCACACCCGAATAGCATTGTCCCTCTCCTCACTGGGGATGTGCAAGATGAATCGACTGGAGAGACACAGGAGAGACGGGATCAGGGATTATAACACATGAGGGGGCTCTAGGGTAAAAATGATGCGTGTGTTACTTCCCATTCACACATAGACACTCAAACAGGTAACATGCAACAGAATACCACCACAGACTGTAAAAATATTGGACGGAGCCACCATGATGTCCCCCATTGGTTTGTGGACTGCCGTTTTGAAGCCTCGAGTTTGGCATTTTGGCCGTCGCCATCTTGGATTTCTGGATCCATCTAATAAATGTTGCTTCATGTGTTATTTTTTTGAGTAGCCTAGTACAATATGATTGTTTATTTCCATCCAGCCACTACCTGAATCACTGGTGTGGGGCTGAGATAGCTGCAGAGACCATGGGGAACAACCTTGGTGGTTTGAGGTAAAAGAGCCTTCTACCCTTCTTCATCCAGTCTCTCATCACAGTAAAAGAGGAGGACCTGCACCACCTCCACCTGCAGCATCCAGACATCGAGATCATCTTCTCTGGCACCACCAAAAGATGCAGGTGGAGGGCTGCTGCCAATCTGGGGAACATTGACAAGTCCCGCAGGTTTGTGAACAGTGTTTTGGCTGCACATGTTCATTGTTTAAGTGGCAGCTTTGGGCTGTTTGTGAACAATGCAGTTTATTTCACCACGAGGGGAAATTATATATTTTTTTAAAATTTAGCTGAGTCCATTAAAGCGAAGCATCAGCAACAGTGAAATTTTCACGTCCAACAGTTTGTTCCCAGTTCAGAATTGATATAGTTTATTGTTTTCAATTATTATAGTTAAAATAACCGTGCTGTTCCAAGAACATCACTAACTTAGAGAGAGGATGTTACTGGGGCAACTTTACATTCAAACACTGTCAGGTTGCCTTATTGTCTCTTTCATGGTGACCAAAGTAAACCAAGAATCTGTTAACATAAAAAGATTTCGGAACAGCTTCTTCCCCAAAACTGTGAGCCTGCTACATATAAACTGTCTCACACACAAGGCTTAAATAATGGCTCCTGTACATTTTACACCTTACCTCCATTTTGTAGGGACTGCTGCAATAGCTTTTTCACTTACTGTTGCACTATCCTCACTTTATTTGTAAAGGCAGCTTTTATTCCTTCACCCATACCAAGATTTTGACTTTACTCACTGCTGCACCATGCGCTGTAAGTTATACATGAAGTATTATTTTAATAATGTGGTTTCTCATGTCAACCATTTCCACTGTCATTTATACTTGTTATTAAATTTACAGGATGTTACACTGGAAATTCAACTTCCTCTTTTCATTTTGCAAACTTGTTTTGTATCAGTTAAGTACACCTTTTGCTTGATCCACTGCTTTGCTGTCACATTATTTCATTAATCCCTTTTTCAAATTCTTTTATATATCTTCCTGGTGTCATTGATGGATAATAACATTGTTGAAATTTAAGCAGTTTTCATTTTTCAAAAAAGGTATTAATGAAGATCATGCCCTGAGTTTGTTGATGTTTTTATGGTGCATATCTAGTCAATAGCCAACATGTATAGTATTGTAGAATAGAATAGAAAGAACTTCAAGAAATTCATCCCTGAAGGGAAATTATATAACATATATACACCATATATACACATATAATGTGCAGAAACACATTGATGGCTTTGCTGGAATTTCTAATTAATTACAACGCTATTTCTATGTTAGCTTTAATTAACCTCATAAATGATAGAACTAATGTTGCAGTTCTTGAACATTTGACAATGAAGGACAAAACAACAGATATAACAGTTTATGTTTCTTGGTGTATTTTTAATGTAATTTATTATGACACTGAAAACACCAATTCAAAATGTCCTGTTAAGTTCATTACGAGAAATACAGTAAATCTGAAATGAACCAGACAAGAGTGTTCCGTAGTTTATAACAATGCACTCAGTACTGTTAAATCACAATAATAGAGAACTATTATCACAAGTTACAAAGGCATTAAACATTTTTTTAGTTATAAGTGTAGTTATGATAAAAACCAGTGTACATAAGCTGTACCATGCTGACATCTTGTAGGTCTAGATCAAATGAAAAAAACATACAAGGACATGCAATATTAATCACTGAAGCCAACTACTTTGAAATCAAATTGTACTTGTCAAATTTTCATTGCACACAACAGAGTTTGTATGCCTAATGAATAGTTAGGAATAATTAGGAAATACGTTCACCTGTTCAGGTGGTGACTGTGCTTTAGTTGATCCATCACTTGATTCCCCTTTCATCTTTTTAAAATTGTTTTTGAAATGTTACTACTTCCATCAGCTATCTAACAACAGCATAAATTAAGTCAAAGGAAAGAAAAACTGAATCTCGGAATACTACTAACAGAGAATAACAAAAAAACTAGTAAAACTTGGTCTGTCCTTTTATCAGAAGAAACTGAACTGAAGTGGCTTTCTGGCATAATCACAACCCATTTGAGAGCTCAGGATGTTGTCCATGCAGTATCCTTTCTCCACATTCCAGATGAATGGCACGAAATACACCGCTACATACATGAGGTCTTCCCTCTGTTGGCACCAGTCATTCAGGTTTCACAGTGTGGATACATTTTGAATTACACTAAAAAACAGACCCTTTTGTAAGCATGGTGGGTCACAATGAATCATACACATGTACCAGCTTGACAGGACAGATGCATGAATGTCTGATTAAGTTGAAGACTAACTACCTTGTATGGACTTACAGTATTAGGTGAACAAAACTCCTAAATTAAAAAAATGTCTTCTAAACATTGTATTGTAATGATCAATACTTCATCAATTTAAACCAGTAAGTTGCTTGATTCTTTATGAGGTATAAAAAGGGTCTCTGTACCCTGAGGTCAGAGCTGAACTGATGAGTCTCAAAGTGTTTACAGCACAGACGTGAAGCCTTGTCAGGACTCTAGTTCTTTCTTCTCATGCTGGGCATCCCCTGGTCCACCTGGTCCACTGGGTCACCTAAAGAAAATTTGCACAGGCAAATAGATATGTAATGGTTTTTTTTTTTTTTTTTTTTTTTTTCACAAAAACATTACAGCTTAAATTTCTTAATGTTCAACAGGTCACCACTTTATTTTAGCTTAAAAGAGGTGTGGACATCACAGTCCTCATATTCATATTCTATCTGTTGCAGTTACACTTATTTTTCATATGTGGCAGTTAAACGTAGTTTTGTCATACTACATTCACTTAAGTAACACACAATTAAGTTCAGTAGCTGTCAACATTTCTGCCTAGAGCATATCACTATTAGTCACCTGTTTTAGCAATAAACGTGGCATTAATATTTCTAACATTTTATCTCACATTTATCTAACATTACTGTTAGCTATTCAAGTCTAGCATTGACTTTACCTTAATGTTACATTGCTTGAATGGCAAGCGTATTGCTTACTTGGGCTGGGCAATATAACAAATATGTACGATATATCAATATATTTTCAAGCAAGATATAAATTTAGACAACACCATCTATATTAATACATGGTCAGGTTGCGTTACATAATGTGTACCAGTGTGCATCCCTCCTCTCATCCTTCCTCTCTCACAAGTTCTGCAGCAACACGAAGAGAGACAGAGAGCTGCTACACTGTTTAATCTGTCTGATAATTAGTCTACTGTGTGACATTGGTGTGTACGTTGCACGTGCTACATTAAATCAGTCTGTGAGATGAATGAAATTACTGCAGCACACTTGCAATCCAGTGTTCCCCATCTACTCTGTGTGTGAGGTGGCTCATAGCGTGTTGCCTTTTTTCTTGGTAGTTGTAGTCTCTTTTGTGACATGGAGACGGCGCCTGGATGTAGGCGACAGATCTGTTTAAAAATGCAGCAACAACACAGACGTTTCATATACAAAACTTACATAACGCAGACAGTGTCTCTCGGTCCTTCCTTCCCTCAGCCTCTCTGTTGATGCTGTGTGCATTAATGTGATTAATGGCCTAAAGAAATAAAAAGATGTAAATCATTTTCCAGTACTAGACTCATTTGAAAGGCTGTGGAAAATGACTTTTGATTTTTAATTGTTCTGAACTACAATGGATTTGAGCCTACTTGATACTTTTATAGTCATATTATAGTTTCATGTCCTGTGCTGCAAACCTTTAAACCTCTGTAGCTCCAGCACTTTGTGCATAAATGTTAATGTAAAGCCTTGCTATTTATTTTATATAATTTTCCATGTACATGTTGTGTAGCTGTATATTTTCAAACAAGGAAAAATCCTTCTTTGCATTTTATTTTGATCATAGTCTGTTTTCATAAAAGTACTTGTGACATCTCAAATGTGGCTTTGACTTGCAACTGAAAACATGTAGCTCATTATGTAGAAAATACCCAGATATACATCATGTATCGCCAGTCAGCCTGTAAATATCGAGATATTAATTTTTGTCCATCGCCCAGCCCTATCGCTTACATAGCATAACTTAAGCTGACTGTTGTTAATGTGGTGGAGCTTTATTTTCCAACCTCACACAGATGCTCTTTGATGAAAACTATTATCACCCTAAATTCTAACACTTATGTACTGCGTTTGGACCTTGGTTCATGCTGATTAGCAGCTACATAGTGAGATAACCAGCTAAGCTAACAAGCCAGAAAAACAACAATACATGCTAACATATATATGAAACAATAATGCAAATGTCACTTACCGAAAAAACTGGTGAACTGGTGTCTTGGACAGTCAGTTGGTACAATCATCTGCAAATCAAGCCTCATTATTTGTTCCGATACTTGTACAAAGAAAATCTCCAACAGGCTCTGTCCAACTGGCTCCAGCACCTCAAAACACAGTAAGGAGGTCAAGTTGAGTGGCCTGCGGTGAGGCCTAGCTGAACGCCTGTCAGTCAATTATGCCCTTAATTATGCAGAATTTAAGCCTTAATAACATTTAAACAGGATCGTTATAAAAAATTCATGTTATGAATGATCAAATAAGCCATAGAGATCAAAACCGTTTTTTGTACTAGCCTGTAAA